TTATGTTATGTCTCAGTTCTGGATTTTTTCCTGTGGTTACCATTGTTTATGTCAAAGAAAGTTTCATGTATACAGTAGTTTTTTTTCTTATTTTTACTCCCCTTTTACAAGTTTGGATCTTTACTCCCTTCTTTTCTGTTGTTGTTGTCTCAAATTATTCCTGTTTTTTTTCTGGGAATTCATTTCTGAGTTGCAATAGCTATTGTTTTCTCTTTTTAAAATATTTTTGCTTCCTCTAATTGTTATGACATATTTAAATGTATAATACCCTATTTTGAATAAGGGTCACACTTTTCTGTTTCTGTCTGTCTGTTAGTCATCTTACTCATATTGTTGTATCTTTTTGTCTTTTTGATTCAGATGGAATAACTCCCTTGAGTATTTCATGTAATTCAGGCCTTATGGTGGAAAATTCCTTCAGTTTCTATACTTGCCCTTTCTTTATTTCCCCTTCATATCTAAAGGAGAACTTTGCTGAATATATTATTCTTGGCTGGTAATTTCTCTTTTTCAGTACTTTGAATATTTGATTCCTAAATAAATAAATTTGGTTGTAGCTTATAGAGTTTCTTCCTAAACATTCAATGATAATCTAATGGGATTTTCTTATAGGTTACTGTCTTCTTTCCCCTGGCTGTCTTGAGAATTCTTTCATTGTCATTAATTTTTGATAGTTTCAATATAATGTGTCTTAGAGAAAGCCTTTTTGAATTGAGATAATTAGGTGTTCTGTTTGCTTCTTGGGTTTGAGGATCCAGTTTTTCCCATAAGTTTGGGGAGTTCTTGTGAACTATTTGTTTGAATAGGCTCTCTGTTGCCTTCTCCCTCTATTCTCCTTCTGATATACCCATTATGCTTATATTGCTCTTTCTGATGGTGTCAGATAATTCTTTCAGAGTTCATTTTTTTTTCACTTTCAAGTCTCTCTCTTCCATTTCTGTCATTTCCAGCTTTCTTTCTTCATTAACACTGTCTTTCCTCCATCTGGTCAGCTCTATTTCCTAAGCTTGCTCTTTAATTATTCATCTCTTACTGAGTTCTTCAGTTCCAGAATTCTTATTTAAAGTTTCTTCTTTAAAGTTTCAATCTCTGTGAAAGTATTCCACTTGTTCTTTGATTTTGTTTCTGAGTTCATCAAATTGCCTATCTGAGTTTTCTTGTATCTCGTTGAATTTTTTCAGAACTGCGATCTGAATTCTCTGTCATTTAAATCACATATTTCTATACTTTTATATTTATTTTCTGAAGATTTTCTATTTTCTTTCTTAATTGCTTTGTTATCTTGGTTGTTCGTGGTATTTGATAGATTATTTCTCCTCCTAAGCATTTATGGGAATAAACTCTGCTATTTGAAAATTTTTTATTATTGTTAAGAATGATGTCTATTTAGCAGGTGATAAGAAGAGGTTTTTCTTTTGTGCTAGTCTTCAGCTGCCTTGCTTCTGTATCTCCATCCTTGTCACTGGGATCAGTCGCAGTGGCATCTGCCACTCAGGAGCTCTCTCCTCAGTTCTCGGGTCTACAGACATTCTGCTCTATAGGCTGACACTCAGTGCTACAATTTCTTCTGGAGCCTACTGCTTGCTCTGGGAAGGTGCAGGGAGGTGAGTGCTGGGAGGATGGGGGAGACAGGCAGGTTCCATGACTTTGTTTTTTGCCTGGCAATGGTGGCTGCTAGAATGCAGCCATTGCACCTCTGTATTCCATCTCTACCCTAATTACTGGATTCTGCCATATTATATGCTGATCACTCAGGCAGGACTGCTCAAAGCTGCAGAGAGAACACATCACAACCTGACTTCTCCCCTCTCCGCAGTGAGCTCCAGATGCATCAGCAGCACTTGTTTTCACTCTTCTCCTTCCCTCCTTCCCTGTTTGCCTCAATTTGCCCACCTTCAGATTCTCTGAATACAGATCCCTCAGAAGTGTTTGTGTGTTAGGCTGGGAATCTTATGTTGGATTATAGCTGTTCAATTTGTTTCAAGAGGAGAGATCATGGGGATGCCTCATGTTGTAATGTCTCTGATGTCACTCTGTGTCTATTTCTTTTCAGTTTTTCTCTCTCAATACTTAGAAAATTGTCCACTCTCTCTTCAAGTATCACTGATAACAGACAACAGTAACACCAGAACACACATACTAGTGCACAGGCCACACTGGATTGCCAAAGCTCAGTGAAGGGAAGATCTTATAATTACAGACTCCACAGAGCACAGTCATATTGAACTGGAAATAGTCCCAGCGAAGAGGATTATAAAGAAGACCATGGGTAGCAAGAGAAGTAGAAGAGGTATCCCACAAAATTCACCTTAAGATCTGGGACACAGCAGACCATGTAATGGGCCCTTACTTCCTGACCTGTTCAGTCAGCAATTTATAAATGGGCCATTAGTGCCTCCCTTAAAGTGGATTAGAAACCTAGAGTCTCGAAGTTAATTTAGTGAGAAGAGAGGTCAGGGATACCAGGCCAGGAAACATGCCCAAGAGGATTCATTAACATCCTGTTTCCTGGACCAGTATTTCCAAGGGAGGACATTCCATCTGAGCAGATAAGTCTCTCTGAAGTTAGGGCTAGAACAGAATAGAGGAGGTGGGGTCATGGGATAGGGAGACAGAACAGTCTCCCCTAGGACAGAGCCCTGGCTCACTGTTGGCACCAGGGAAAAGGAGGCCAGTGCATAGCATGGTCTCCCTTAGGCATCTCTTTCAATATCTACTTCCTTCAGTTTTCTGCTGCTTTCATCTTTGCTCCAGACCCTAGCAAGAGTAAATGAACATCTGAGCATCTGGACTCAGTCTGACATCTGCTCCAGAGCTAGATGGGCTCCCTAACTGGGAAACTATGTGACAGAAGTAGTTTCTCCTAATTCTTTACAGGTGTGAAAACAGGCAGGGCCATCTTCTTACTCCATAGAAACCACCCAAGGACTGTATTAGCTCTCTATGTGTATCTACTGCATCACTAGAGAAGACCTATGGAGGAATAGAAGGCACAGAAGGACCTTGATACCTATCTTGGTCAGACTCCTCATACTCTTAACCCAACTTAGCAAAAATTGAACCAATTGGATACTGCTAGAAAATCCCTATCTTTCTTCCCCATTTTTACAGGAACATTCTTGACCCTCAGACAGTCACAAGGCAGTCTCCTTGGTTGGCCATCTGGGCTTCTCGCCACTTGAGGTAAGAGCATCGATTCTTTTTTAGGGAAGGGTGCAGCCTCTAGGAATATTGAATTGAGAAACAGAGCCCAAAGCAGACCCTAAAAACTAAGCTACTCTGTCTTCCATATTCTCTAGTACTTTGGGCTCTATAGCACTTCTCAATCCCCTTCATTTTTGGTTTTCCAAACATGAAGAAGAATTGGTGAGGATGGTGAAAGAGTCTGTGCTACATGCCAGGCTTGGGCATCTGTTTCCTGACAAAGTATCACTACCTATCTTAAATTCTATGGGCTTTGCTGGCCTATGAAAAGGCATTTTTTGTACCTATCTGATAATCCATGCCTCCAGAAGACCATCTAAGAGTAGATGATATGCTTGTCACATGCTCAAATACCTTTTTACCATTAAAATTCTGTGGACTTAGAAGAGGCCAATAGAAACCAATGAAATATCAAAATATATAAGCCATGACATAAGGAAACGATTTAGAGAAAAATGCTTCACTTACTGATACTTTAACATATGTTCAGATTTAGCTTTATCTGTTCAGTTCCCTTGAAGCATGTCACTGATTTATGTCAATCTCAGGGCCTGACTCTTCTGGCTTCTCTCTGGGATTGGGTACCTCACTCCAACAGCAGTTTTCCAAAACAGAAATTCTTCTTCTCTATCCCTGTGGCCCTTCAATCCAGTGTTGGTACCCTGGCCTTGCAAGAAGAAATGTGGGGATCTGGGTCTGGTGCAAGAAAGGGAAGCCAGGATTATGGAGCCTGGTTACAACTCTCTTGTAACAATACATACCCTCTTGTTGCCTACATCTTTCATCATTTTTCCAAAAACAAAACTCTGATCTTCCTGGGCAGAGTCTCATCTGTTATCATATTTCTGAGTCCTCCTAGGTCATATTTTACCATAACCTGTTAAGAAAGTCTAGAATTCTCTCTCAAGCACATGGAGAATGTAGAGCTTTTCAAGAGAGGAGACTAAAGTGGATACCTGTTAGCTCTTCCAGCAAGGCTTGTATCTATAACCTTGAATGCTACAAACAAGTGTGGACATAAATTATATATATAGAAAAAGAAGTGGTATTGCTTTATTGAAACATGTTTTGGTACTTTTTTTTAAATTAAACTTATTGGGATGACATTGGTTAATAAAATTTATAGATTTTAAGTGTACGGTTCAGTAATACATCATTTATATATTGCATTATGTGTTCACCACCCACAGTCATATCTCTTTCAGTCACCATATATTTGGTCCCCTTTACCTTTATCTGCTTACCCCCTCCACCCATTCCTTCTGGTAACTACTAAGCTGTTGTCTGTATTTATGAGTTTTTGTTTGTTCGTTTTTTGCTTTCAGTTTTATATCCTACACATGAATAAAATCATGTGGTTCTCAACTTTTTATGTCTGACTTATTTCGCTTGGCATAATTATCTCAACCAGATTTCTGTACCTGTTTTCAAATTTTATATTAAAAACAGGTCTATGCAGAACACTAAGTGGGTACTCATATCATTAGTCTAACATTATGCTTATCAGATAGGTCCAAGAATAATCAAGGGCATGGGTGCCAGAATATTCTATTAATATAGAGATGATCTAATCTTTCTGGAAAGATACATGTTCACCTTTGATGAATGAATAATATTTTCATAGTGGCTTCTTAATGTTTAACTATTATTGTGACATCTGTTCTTCATTTAGATGGATCTTTATTAAGATGCAACTATAAGAGTCAGAAACAGAGATCAAGAGGTAAAGTCAGTAATAAGGAACCATTTTTACAAATATTCACCAAGAATCCACTTGGTTTTAGGCAACTAAAGAAACAGCACAGAATGGAGCACTGGAACTCTACCCTGGGAAGTGGCTTCATATTGATGGGGATTCTGAAGGACAGTGGGTCTCCTGAGCTGCTCTGCACCACAATCTCAGTCTTGTACATGTTAGCTCTGACCAGCAATGGCCTGCTGCTCCTGGTCATCACAATGGATGTTCGGCTCCATGTGCCCATGTACCTCTTGCTTGGGCAGCTCTCACTGATGGATCTCCTCTTCACATCTGTTGTCACTCCCAAGGCTCTTGTGGATTTTTTCCATAGTGAAAACACCATCTCCTTTGGGGGCTGTGCCCTTCAGATGTTCCTGGCACTGACCCTGGGTGGTGCAGAGGACCTCTTACTGGCCTTCATGGCCTATGACAGGTATGTGGCCATTTGTCATCCTCTGACCTACATGGTCCTCATGAGGCCAAGGGTCTGCTGGCTCATGGTGACCATATCTTGGATCCTGGCATCTCTGAACGCTCTAGGACATACCTTGTATACCATGCACTTTCCTTTCTGTATGTCCCGGAAAATCAGTCACCTGCTCTGTGAGATCCCACCTCTGCTGAAGTTGGCCTGTGCAGATACCTCCAGATATGAGCTCATGGTGTATGTGATGGGTGTGACCTTCCTGATGCCCCCTCTTATTGCTATTCTTGCTTCTTATACACTAATCTTATTTACTGTGCTCCACATGCCCTCAAATGAAGGGAGACAGAAAGCCCTATTTACCTGTTCTTCCCACCTGGCTGTGGTCGGGATGTTCTATGGAGCTGCCATGTTCATGTATATCCTGCCCCGTTCCCTCCACAGCCCCCAGCAAGACAACATCACCTCTGTTTTCTACACGATTGTCACTCCAGCCCTGAACCCCCTCATCTACAGCCTGAGGAATAAGGAGGTCATGGGAGCCTTGAGGAGGATCCTAGGGAAATATGTGCTGTGGACACACTCCACCATTTAGGGAGGCTTATGGTTTGATTCCAAAATCCATTCCTCTTCAAAGTCAGAAGATTTCTAAGGGTCAAACATTCATGATATAACACCATAGTGCAAAGTATATCTTTTAATAGGAAAATTAAAGAATGTAACTTGACTTGTCAAAATGCTCTTTCATTTTTTATTTTTAATATATATTTTTTTATTCACTTGATATAATTTACATAACTTCCAAGTTTACATATTTGACCCCTTTTATCCCATCCACTTCTCTCCCTACCCTCTGGTAACCACTAGTCTATTGTCTATGTCTATGAGTCTCTGCTTGTTTGTCCTGTTCATTTATGGCTTTTAGTTTTATATCCCACATATAAGTGACATCATATGGTTTTCAATATTTTTCTGTCTGGCTTATTTTGCTTAGCATGATTATCTCAAGGGCCATCCATGTTGTCGCAAATGTCAGTATTTCACCTCTTCTTATGGCTGTGTAATATTCCATTGTATATATGTACCACAGCTTCTTTATCCAGTCATCTGTCATAGGACACTTTGGTTGCTTCCATGTCCTGGCCACCATGAATAATGCTGCTATGAACATCGGTGTGCAAATATCTTTTTTGGATATGGGTTTTCAAGTCTTAGGGGTAAATACCCAGTAGAGAGATAGCTGGATCATATGGTAGATCAATTCTTATTTAGACACTTCTCCCAGGAAGACATACAAATGGCCAATAAACATCTGAAAATATGCTCAATATCATTAGCTTTTAGGGAAATGCAAATCAAAACCACAATGAGATACCATCTCATATCTGTTAGCATAGCTGTTATCAACAGGACAAGTAATAACAAGTGTTGGAGAGGATGCGGAGAAAAAAAACCCTCATACACTGCTGGTGGGACTGCAAATCGGTACAGCCACTATGGAAAACAGTATGGAGTTTCCTCAAAAAAATCTAAATGCACTTTTAAAGATTCTCTTTATGAGGTAACTTATAAGGTATGACATTTATTTTAAATTTACTCTCTATTTTCCTAGCTAGGGGCTCCATTTAATTCAGTAAAATGGACAACTTGGGAGAAGACCCCTGACCTTGGGACTCCAAACAGAACAAAGTAAGAGCCAAAGAAAAAAAACTCAGATGAAAGGCCTAAGCAAAGCCCATACATGAGGGGAAGGGACCTTGAGATTTGTACAAATTTTAGACCAACTCATCTTGTTAAAAGATCATGCGGGCAGCCTGGTTTAATGCACAGAATTGTAGAGGTTTGCATGTATTTGTTTCATGTTCACACTTCCTTTTTTTAAACATCAGCCATTACGGAAACTTCTCCATGCAGACACTCAAACAGATATTTTTTTGTCTTTGTCTTTGTTTTTGTTTTTGTTTGTTTACTTTTGACATGAGAATTTTTTTATGCTGCTTAAAATCCAAATATTACTGAAATGAATAAAATAGAAAAAGCAACTCATCATAAAGGTCCATGGTAAACAACTATGCTTATTCTTTGGCAATAAACAAACACAGAAATAAAACAAAACTGGGTTTCCATTATCTGAAGGTTGTCTTGAAACATCCCTACAATTGCAAAGGGTTCATATGCTTGATATGTGTGGCTGTGTGCAACTGTGGATGTATATTTGTGATGAAAAAGGAGAAGTCAGCATGTAAATTCATTTTTTAGTAGCTTAAATATGCTGTACTACTTCCATTGGTTTATAAGACTGGAAATATTTACACAAAAACTGTGAGTTATTTTGAAACTTCAAAATAGCGTGGTTCATCCAGTGGAACTTTTTTTTTTTTAGGTTAGGCAACCCTTGGTTGACCTCACAGATTGCAAGGACGTTGTCAGTTTACAATCCTTTATATTTTATTTTTTATGCCTGCAGCACCTGGTCTTCCTAGATGGTTTCCCATCCAAGTACTAATCAGGCTCCACCCTGCTTAGCTTCCGAGATCAGATGGAATTGGGCTTGTTCAGGGTGGCATGGCTATAGATGAAACTATTTTTGAGAATACTGTATTTCTTTGCAAATTTGCCTACCCTTATCTCTCTTTTTTTTTTTTCAAAAATAAAACAGCACTGTTTAATCTTTAACACTACAAGGTTTTTTTCCAAAAATTAATAAAATTAAGAATACTAGAGATAGACGAAACCAACTGAAATCTCCTTACGTAGAGATAAACTCTATACATATTTAGATACATTCTCTTCCATTTTTTTATTCCCTTCCATTTTTAATGCAGGCATGCATTTTACTGAGTTGATATATACATGTAAAATAGAGATTTTTATTCACTTATTAATATAGAGATTTCTCTCTCCCTACTCTCCCATTGTATGGAGGCAGTATAGACCAGTGACAGAGCCTGGGGTCAGTTGTCAGAGTATCAAGATTTGAATAAAATACACTGCCACCTACTTATACAGTAAGTAGTCCCCTGACATCTATCCACGATTTTGCTTTCTTTGGTTTGTTACCTGGGGTCAACTATGGTCTGAAAATATTAAACAGAATATTCCAAAATAATTCATAAGTTTTAAATTGCACACTGTTCTAAAGTAGTATAATGAAATCTCATGCCACCGTGCCCAAGATGTAACTCATTCCTTTGTCCAGCGGATCCTCACTGTAGACACTTCCCGCCCTTTAGTTGTCTTGGTTATAAGAATGACTGTTGTAATATCACAGTGCTTGTGTTCACATGAGCCTTATTTTACTTAATGATGGCCCTGAAGCTCAAAAGTAGTGATACTGGCAATTCGGATATGCCAAAGAGTAGCTTTCTTTAAGTGATCGGGTGAAAGTTCTAGACTTAATAAGGCATTTTATCATCTCACATCATCTCACATCAAGAAGAAAGATACCGGGTATACACAGTACAGTATATTTTGAGAGAGACTACATTCACTTTTATTAGTCTACTGTTTTAATTCTTTTATTTTATTGTTAGTTGTTAATCTCTTACTGTGTGTAATTTATAAATTGAACTTTATCATGGGTATGTATGTATATGAAAAAACAGTATATATAAGGTTTGCTACTATCCATGATTTCAGGCATCCACCGGGGGTCTTGGAACATATCCACTGAGGATAAGGGGGAATTGCTGTATCACTTTGAGCACGTTACTTAACCTCTCTGCACCTAAGTCTGCACATCTATAAACTGTAAATTGGCAGTAATAGTAAGACCTACTTCACAGTTGTTAAGAAGATTAAATAAGTTAGTAAATATAAATGTAAGTCATTTAGAGTAATAGCTGGCATATAATAAAGTTTATCTCCTACGTAAATAAACAGCCTTGAAAATACTTTTCTGTGGTGATGATATTACATCATATGGATGCTTTGTAATAGAATTGGCTATTTTAACACAATTATAAATTTAATGCTTGTGGTGGTGCTGATGCTGGTGTGTTTATGTGTGTGAGTGTGTGTGTGTATGTGAATAAAAACAGCAATGTTGCTCTCTTAGGTGTGTGACTGATTTTTTCCTTTAGGATAAATTCTTATGAGTGAAATTACTATAAACCAAGGTTAAAAAAATCAATTAAAGTTCTTGATATAAAGAGAGACTGATTTTTAAAAATGTTAAATATTTTGCAGTTTTACTAGCAACTTGTAAGAATACTTAACCCACCACACCTTTTTCCCATGTTAAATTTAACATATAGTCTTTATTTGGTTTAACGCTTAAATCTATTGTTTTAATTTGCATAATCAATTTATATTTTTCTAATTGAGTTTTTGAAATTTTTTACAGGTTAGTGATACTGATACTTTGTTATACTGGTAGTAATAACTTTTTTTCAAATTTGATTTTTGACTTTTTAGTATCTCCATGATAAGGTTTTTTGGACAGAGAAGTGTTAAAAATATTTATGTTGTGAAATCTATCTACCTTATCTTGTTTTCTTTCAGTGATTTTACTGCTAGGACATAGTTTTCCACTCTATCTTTTAATAACAATTTATGTATTTTATTTTTTCTTAATCATTTTACAATTTGCATTTAACTTTTATGATAAATTTCTAATTTATCTTGTTATGGTAAAATTTTAACCTTGTTTAGATAGCTGCCATTTTCCTAGTAATGTTTTAAAATAATCTTTCCCTTTTCTATTAATTTCTTCTGTTTCTTTTATCACATATTATGTTCTATAAATATAGTATTAAGCTACATTTCTTGGCTATTCAGTTCCAGCTTCCTCAACTCTTTCTGAAGATATTTAATTCTGTCATCTACATCATAAAAGCTCACTGGTAATTAGATCACAAATATATTAAACTTATAAATTAATTTGTATGTTTGGCATTTTTTGCAATACTCAGCTATGTCTTCCAAAACATAATACACGACTGATTACACTTCCTAAACCCAATCTCAGTTCCTTTCTTAAAATGACTATTTTACACCTTAAGTTTCAGTTGACGACCTTACTCCATACTTCACTTGGAATAGAAAGTAGAGTATGGAGTAAGAGAAGGAAAGGAAGTAAGAAGGGGAAGGGTACACCTGTTTGTATCCACACACTCATGCCCTGTTTTCCCCCCTCGTGACTGTCTACCAAAGGCTGACCTCTCCACCAGTATTCTAGATCACAATCTCACTAACCTACCAAAAATTTTGCTCCTGCAGACTCCCCTTAATCTGAAACTATTTTCTTTCTTCTGGATCGTTTATATAAAGATACAAATATACTCTGTTTATCCCATTATAAAGAACTCTTTTTATGACTCCACATCTTCTTTAGTTACTGACCCATTTTTTCAGCTTCTCTTCAGAGAAAATCAAAAAGCATATTTATGCCCACTTTCTCCTCTGTTGATTTACTATTCACATTTTAACCTACTCCTAATCAAGCTTTGATCTCTTTCTATGGATCTGTTCTTCATCAAAATCATCATTGATGTTCCAAATAAAGTGGCCATTTCTATATACTCTTCCTTTAACCTTTTTGCTATATAGGTACAGTTGACACTTCTAGTCTATTGAAACTTCTCTTGGTTTCCAGATTCCACACACTTCTGAT